GGGCTCCCAAAGTGCTGGGATTACAGGCTTGAGCCACCGCGCCCGGCCTACAGAAATTCTTTTCTACATTTCAGCCTCCCAGTTACCCTATAGAATTGAAATTACAATTTCTCCATTTTACAGATGAGGTAGCTGAGGCTCAGAGAGGGTGAGTGACTTGCCCAAAGTTACGCGGTGGGTGACAGAGCTCCAGGTCTGTCTAACAGTAAACATGTGCTCTTCCTGTGAAGATAAATTCTGTTCCTGGTTCAGCCAAGATGAGGCTGGAGTTTTTCCAAAAGAACTTTCTCTGAGAAACTAAATGGGAAAATAAACTCCCCCAGGAGCAGAGAAACTGATATGTTTCTAGAACATTTGTTTCCACTCAAACAGAGCTAAAGGCCAGCTCCAGGGGGATTTTGTGTGTCCTTCTGGGGCCATCTCCTGCCAGGAATAATGCCCTTCAGAACCAGCAGTCAGGTAAGAGGGCAGCCTGGGACCCAGACTGCCTGAGTTTAAATCCTGTCTCCACTGCAACCCAGCTTTGTGACCCTCCCTTCCTCCCCTCCTCACCCCCCTCCCCGAGACAGAGCCTGGCTCTGTTGCCCAGGCTGGAGTGCAGTGCTGCTATCTGGGCTCACTGCAATCTGCCTCCTGGGTTCCGGTGATTCTCCTGCCTCAGCCTCCCAAGTAGCTGAGATTACAGGCGCCTCCTACCACACTTAACTAGTGTGTGTGTGTGTGTGTGTGTGTGTGTGTGTGTGTGTGTGTGTTTTAGAAGAGATGAGGTTTTACCATGTTGGCCAGGGTGGTCTTGAACTCCTGACCACAGGTGATCCACCCGCCTTGGCCTCCCAAAGTACTGAGATTACAGGCGTGAGCCACTGCACCCGGCCAGCCCTCCCATTTTGTGCCTCAGTTTCCTCGTCTGTCAAATGGGGCTCATCGTAACATCCTATCCAAGTTGGGAGGAATCACAGAGCTGCATCAAGGGTCCCCCTGTGAATGTGCATCTCCTTGCACCCCCGGCCCTGTGTTTGGGCTCTGAGCCAGACTCATCTTCATTTCCCTGCAGAAGGCCAGACCCCAACTGACTGACTCTGCAGACAAAGGGGCCCGGAGGTAAACAAACGTCAGACTGTTCAGAGATAACCTGAGGCTGGGTGCGTGTCATGGGGCACTCTGGGTGGTGACTCAGCCTTCTTGGCAGATGAACCATAGCCCATGCTGGGGCTCTGCTCCAATTCTCATCTCCCCCAAAAGAGTGGAGAATGGGGCAGGAAATGTTTGTCATGGTCCTCTCTCATTTTTTTTATTTTTTGAGACAGGGTCTCACTTTGTCCCCAAGCTAGAGTACAGTGGCAAGATCACGGCTCACGATCAGCCTCAGTCTCCGTAAGTGCTAAGATTACAGTGTGAGTCACTGTGCCTGGCCATGGTCCTTTTTTTTTTTTTTTTGAGACAGAGTCTTACTCTGTCACCCAGGTTGGAGTGCAGCGGCGCAATCTCAGCTCACTGCAACCTTCACCTTCTGGGTTCAAGTGATTCTGCTGCCTCAGCCTCCTGAGTAGCTGAAATTACAGGCACCTGCCACCACGCCCAGCTGATTTTTGTGTTTTTATTAGAGATGGGGTTTCACCATATTGGCCAGGCTGGTCTTGAACTTCTGACCTTGTGAGGCACTGCTTCGGTGTTGGGATTAAAGGTGTGAGCCACCTCGCCCATTTTTTTTTTTTTTTTGAGACTGAGTCTCACTCTGTCATCCAGGCTGGAGTGCAGTGGTGTGATCTCAGCTCACTGCAACCTCCATCTTCCAGGTTCAAGTGATTCTCCTGACACAGCCTCCCAAGTAGCTGGGATTACAGGTGCGTGCTACCACATCCAGCTAATTTTTGTATTTTTGGTAGAGACAGGGTTTTACCGTGTTGGCCAGGCTGGTCTTGAACTCTTTACCTCAGGTGATCCACCCCCTCTTGGCCTCCCACTGTGCTGGGGTTATAGACATAAGCCACCACGCCTGACCGTATGATCCTCTCTTGACCATGAGAATCTCTCTCAGTCTGGGCAGATCTGGGAAAGATAGCCTGCTAAGCCACCCAGTGCTGTGTGACCTGAGGCAGGCACCTGCCCCTCTCTGGGCCTCACCTTTCTTTTCAGCTATGTGCATCATCACTAGTACAGATGACTAATGAAGGTCAGGACAACTTCTCTGAGGTTTTCAAAACACACATGTAAATGAAATCAAACTGATTGCAGGCACCAGGACAACAAATGTGAGGGTGACAGCTGTCCTTAGTTCTTAATCGGCTGTGTCTGTTCCAGTGGAGGGAGTAGACACAGATGATTAAAACGAAGCCTGGGAAGTCCTGACATGAGCCTCAACCACCATCTAGTGATCTGATGATACTGACCATGAGCCAAGCCCTTTGCCCCATTTTTTCATTTTGATCTCACAAGAACCCCATGCAATAACTACCACTAGTACACCCATTCTTCTGAAGAGTAAACTGAGGCTCAGAGAGGTTGAGAGGCTCACTGAGCTCACACAGCAGGTCAGGTGCAGCATGTCTGCCCTCTGGAGATGTCTAGGGAGGTGAAGACCAGCCATTCCTTAAGGGCAGCACCCACCCTCCCCTGGAGAAGGAGGAGTGGGGTGTGGAATTCCTGGGGAGCCAGGACTCGGGCTTTTATTTCTGGCTTTGCGCTGACTCAGACCATGACCTTGGGTGAGTCACTTGCCAGCTCTGCTAAGCTTAAAAACAACTCCCCCAATAAAAATGTCCCAGCCCCAAGCCCCCATCACAGGGGAGCAGATGGGAAGGCTGGGTACGGTTGCTTAAAAATAGAAAGGACGGGAACACAAGGATGTCGATGGCAGGGCTTCCTGAACATCGGGGACTTATGTACAGTGGGCCCTAGGAGGGTGAGAAAACCAACTCAGGACCCCCGGGCAGGAGCTGACACTTCCCCGGCTCCTCCCCCTCCCCCAGCCTCCCAGATGCTCCTTAAAATACATCACTGCCTGAGCTGCTCTTGCAGCCTGAGGTGACCTGATTAAACCTGGTTCCTTCCCCTATGCAGCCTGTGTGCTTGCATCTGTGCCTGGGGGCGCTGCCCCAGCCAATACTTGAGCTTAATTATTTAAGAGACCCTATAGTCCTCCTCCCTGTCACATGCCCAGGCTGTCCTGGGGAACTGCTGTGGTTAAGGCCTTTGGGCTTCTTTGGCTTGGGTGGAGGAGGGAAGCCAGGATGGCACGGGGAGAGCCAAGTTCGCAAACCAGTCCCACCTCTGCTTGGCTGTGTGACCCTAGGCAAGTCACTTTCCCATTTTGAGACCCTAGAGAGAGGAATAGACTGGTCAAAGTCATGCATAGAACGTCTGAACTTGAACTCAAATCAGTGTGACCCCAAAGGATATGAACTCCCTACTACTCTTAGTCTCCCATTTTGCTGCTGAGCATGGACAAAGGTCTGAACTGCCCAAGCCCCATTCCTACAAGGCTCTGGGTCCTGGCTGCCCTGGTTGTGACAGCGGACATGACCGGCTCAGCCAGTATCAGAGCTCAGCCAGGCCCTGAGCGCCCTCTGCTGGGTACTGCCCTGGGGGCACTACTACAGACTGGCTGGCAGGTGTCCCTTCCCCACCAGCCATCTGAGAGTGTCCCCAAGTCCCCCTCAGGGAATCCCCCTGCGCTTCCATGAACATTGCCTAGCCATCTCTCTCCAAGCCTGGGAGAGCCCTCTGTGGGCAAAACTGTTTTCTGGCCTTTCCCAAGCCACCAGGCAGGCAGTTCCTATCTTTTTTTTTTTTTTTTTTGAAGAGGGTGAGGATGGGTCAAGATAGGCAGATAAGGAAAACAGACATTTTTGGAGAAGACTTCAAGGAAATGGGACGGGGTGGGGTAAAGCTGGGAGGAGGAAACATTCAGAATTTGGAGGGCCCAGAGGACTCTGGGATGGAGTCAGGTTTGGGAAACCAGTTCTCCATCCCCCAGAAAGCTGGAGACGCCCTTTCCCAGGGAGAGGCCCCTGCCAGATCACAGCCAGGCGGTGGGATGCCCGGCTCTCAGAGAGGTTGCCCACCCCCTGCCGGCCATACTTCCTCGTCCCCTCCCCCAGCCTCAGTGGATGCAGCAGTTCACACTCTGTATTTATTATTGTCCTCACTCTGTGTCCCCCTCCCCTCTCTCTGGGAAGAGCCTGCAGGCTGGCAGCTTGGCAGGAGCCTGCTGTCTCCTTGTGGGTGCCAGTGTCGCCCCTTATCTCCGCCTGGACTCCCTGTGCCAGGGTCAGGCCACTCAGGGGCTTGGCACCAGCCAAGGCCACCCTAAGTCCCTGTATCCCACAACAGGGGTGTCCTAGCAGGCCCTGGCTTATCACCCCTGCCCTCCGGGGGCTGCACCCTGGCAAGGGTGAAGGTCAGAGCAGACCAGCAGGCAGGCAAGAAGCAAGGGCTCGGGGTGGGGTGGTTCCCCGGGAAGAGAATAACCACACGGAGCCACCTCTCCAAGCCAACTAACACAATTATCCCCATCACACTGGGGAAAAAATCGAGTCAGGATAAGACAGATGCTCCAGGTCCAACTGTCTGCCTGCCCCAGCCAGTCCCTTCCCAGCCCCAGCCCCACATTCCAGGGGAAAGACCAGCGACCCTCCCTGCTGCACTCTGCTTTCAGCAGCTGGAAACGGCACTAGGATTTCTCCGGTCAAGGCGGTCCTCTCTCCCCTGCTTCCCAGACAGGAGGCTGCGGCTTGGCAGGTATCTGCTGCTCTCTGCTTCCTGAGCCAGATGCAGGTCCCAGACACAGACAGACACACTCCCACGGGAGCCACACAGCCTCACCTCGTTTGGGGGTCACGGGGAGAGGAGGGAGGGAGAGACAGGTGGGATCCAGCACTCTATCTGTAAGCTGAACTGGGCTGATCCAGCCCCCACCTTCACGTCGTACCTCTCTCCTTCGGCCTGGCCAAAGCCACAGTTTCTAGCACAGTGTTCTCAGCCCCCATCCAGCCCCTCACCTCTCCTGGGCAGCCGGGGTCCAGGCACTGCCTCCTCCTCCTCGCTCTGCCTCCCTTTGGCGCGTGGAGCTGGCGGGCAAGGGATGGGTCTGGAAGATTGTGTGTGCGTTTGTGTGTGTGTGTGTGTGTGTGTGTGTGTGTGTGCGCGCTCTCGCTCTGGCGGGCGGTACCTCAGCCCCTCACTCACTCACACGCCTTCCAGCTGACGTCAGGGAGAGCAAGAGGGAGGGACTGGGATGCGAATTTGTACTCCCTGCTTAAAGGGACCGGGCTCTGTGGCTTCTGGCCTAGACACCACTTCCTGAGTCAGGCACCGCCAGGTGAGAGGCTCAGCTGCGTCTCTTGGGGGCCCTAAAGCTTCCTTTTTTGGAAAGTGGCTTTTATGGCTGGGCCACGGTATAATTTGCCCTGCCCAGTGAGGGCAGCTGCTGAGGAATGCAGGGGAGGAAGAACCTGGGACAGCGCCACGTTCCTGGTAATTAGAGAGCAAGTGGGGGGTGGTGAGTGTGAGTGTGAGTGAATGCACACTGGGGGGCCCCTTGGGGTGGGTGGGGGTGGTTGGGGGTGAGTCTGGGAGAATAGAGGTCAGGGCCAAGAGGAGCCCCCCCCGAGGGGGGGCTCAAGACAAGCCAGGTTCCCAGGGACACCCAGAGACTCATCTCCCCTCCGGACGCTCAGTGGTCCTGTCCTCTGCTAGTACAGACACTGATGGCACTCAGGTCTGTCCCCTCAACGGCCTCTGAGATGCTGGAGATGAGTCACATGTGCTCATCTCTATTTGCCACTTGTAATATTTCCATGAAATTGAATTGAGGAGGACCCTAAGAGAGAGATGGCTTGAAGGTGCACAGGTGGACACCCCTTAGCCTGGGAGGCTCTGAATAGAGTGGACTGATTGAATCCAGGTGCCCAGCCCGTTCCCCTCCGCACGCCCCGGCTTTGAAGTGCTCTGCACTGTCAAGCTGTGTGACCTTGGGCCAGCCCCTGAGGGCCTTTGGAGGTTGAGTATGTGATGTCCCTAAACCCAGGGCTGGCTGGAGGAGTTTTCCACAAAGGAGCTTCTCTTCCTTTCAGTTCCTTCTCAGCCTTGGCTTGGACAGAAGGCAGGCTTCCCCTGGTATCTCCTGGTACTACTGAGGCAGGCTGGTATTTTCAAAAGGAGTCTAATTAAAATAAAAAGCAGGTGGGAGTTAAAAGGGAAACCATGAAGCAAAGTATAAGTAACTCGTACACATAGCTAAGATGCCACGGGGGCTTGCCCTCATTTAAACCTCACAACAATTTATCAATTTATTTTTGTCGTCCTTCCTTTGCTGGTGAAGAAATAGGGGCTCAGAGAGGAGGAAGGACTTGACTTGCCTGTGTTCTTTCTTTCTTTTTTTTTTTTGAGACAGAGTCTCACTCCTCTGTCACCAGGCTGGAGTGCAGGGGTGCGATCTCAACTCACTACAACTTCTGCCTCCTGGGTTCAAGTGATTCTCCTGCCTCAGCCTCCCAAGTAGCGCGTGGTGACTACAGGCGTGCGCCACCATGGCCAGCTAATGTTTGTATTTTTAGTAGAGACAGAGTTTCACCATGTTGGCCAGGATGGTCTTGATCTCTTGACCTGTGATCCACCCGCCTCGGGCTCCCAAAGTGCTGGGAGTATGGCTCCCAAAGAGCCACTACGCCTGGCTGCCTATTTTCTTTCAACTGGCTAGAGGAGTACTGGAACCCGGGACCACCCAATGTCACTACACGCCCCTGCCCCTCCAGAACCTCTCCAGACAATCACAGCTCACTGCAGCTTCCAACTCCTGGGCTCAAATGATCCTCCTACCTCAGCCCCTTGAGTAGCTGGGACTACAGGTGTACACCACCATGCCTGGCTAATTTTTCCAAAAAAAAATTTTGTAGAGGTGGAGTCTCACTATGTTGTCCAGGCTAGTCTCAAACTCCTGGCCTCAAGCAATCCTCCTGCCTCAGCCTCCCAAAGTGCTGGGATTATATCCTCTCCTCTTCTTTGCCTTCCTCTCCTCCAGCAATAATAGCTTTCAAAGGGCTCTCACAGGCATCCCCTTGCCTGCTTCTTTTTTTTTGAGACAGAGGTTTGCTCTTGTTGCGCAGGCAACAATGGCTCAATCTCGGCTCACTGTAACCTCCGCCTCCCGGGTTCAAGCAATTCTTCTGCCTCAGCCTGCCAAGTAGCTGGGATTACAGGCATGTACCACCACACCCAGCTAATTTTGTATTTTTAGTAGAGATGAGGTCAGGCTGGTCTTGAACTCCTGACCTCAGGTGGTCTGCCCACCTTGGCCTCCCAAAATGCTGGGATTACAGGGACAAGCCACTGTGCCCGGCCTGACCCATGTTTTTCAAACACACCAACCTGCCCTCCTAGCAGAAGCACTGGAGCCATGGTGGACGCTGGCAGTTTTCCCTGGCCACTCTCACTGTCCTGTCCACTGGGAACTGCCTTGCTGTTGTCACGAATCACCTCTCCCCATTCTTGGTCTGTAGGACCTCTGGCCCAGGCCTGGCCAACCAGAGCTGGCATCAGGACTTAAGCTGGAATGTGGATGCCAGGCTGGCCCTTCTCCCAGGGGCCCCCAAGTTGGTTGAGTGATGGGTTACAAGCTGATTGGCCAGCAGAGGGGGAGTGGCCAGGCGGGCTTTTCTGCACTCCAGGTGACCAGAGGGGCTAGAGAGAAGACATCTAGAGGGAAGCAGCTCAGGAGGTTAGAAGGCCCTTAGCTGGTTTGGCTTGGGGTGGCGGTGGAACAGGAAGGAGGCAGTGTCAGGGGACATGAGGCAGGGCCCTGGAGGCTGAGGCTGGGCAGCTGTGGCTAAGGCCCTGACCCCTCCCTTCACGGCCAGTCTCCTTTCTCTTGGCCCCTCCGGTGGGCTGCTCAACAACATGTGCCCAGGGCTGGCAGGCAGCCAGAGAGCAGTGAATGGAGGAGGCTGGGCCGAGCATGAAGCAGCGTTATGATGATTCCTGAGCCGGTGATGAGAGGGCACAGCTGTTCATTCAGGAAAAGAGCAGCCGCGGCCCCACCCACCCACCCACCAGCAGCTGAGTAACAAAGAAATCGTCTGCTTGAGACCAGGGGCTCCGCCGTGGAGGCTATTTTTGTGAAAAGCTGAGAATTCAAAACTCATCTCCTCGAAAGCCTCCCTCGCCTTGTAGAAGCTGAAGAGGTGGGTTAGAGCCGAATAGCCCCTGTGACTGATTCCACCTGAATTACAATTCTCACTCCTGTTATCAATGGTCAGCCCACATGTGGCAGCCAGGCCTGGACCTACGTGGCATTGAATCCACATCCCTTTGACATACATACACCTCTAAGATGTTGGTGCCGTGTGACAAGATGATGAAGATGCTCAGGCACAGAGAGGTTAAGAAACTTGCCCAGGGCCGGGTGCGGTGGCTCAAGCCTGTAATCCCAGCACTTTGGGAGGCCGAGGCGGGTGGATCACGAGGTCAAGAGATCGAGACCATCCTGGTCCACATGGTGAAACCCCGTCTCTACTAAAAATACAAAAAATTAGCTGGGCATGGTGGTGCGTGCCTGTAATCCCAGCTACTCAGGAGGCTGAGGCAGGAGAATTGCCTGAACCCA